CTGCATCGGGACACTTGTTATCTGTCTTTTGATGATAGTCATCCTAGTGGGTAGGAAGGGGTGTCTCACTGTACTTTTGATTTGCATTTCTCTAGTAGCTAATGATGTGTTGAGCATTTGTTAATGTGTTTAGTGGCCATTTGTATACGTTCTTTGGAGAAATGTCTATTCAGATGCTTTTGCCCATTGTCTTTTTATTATAGGGTTTAATAGTTCTTTATATATTCTAGATACAATTATCTTATCAGATAGATGATTGCAAAAATTTCTCCCATTCTATGGATTGTCATTTTGCTTTCCTGATGGTGTCCTCTGAAGCACAGAAGTTTTTAATTTTAATAGATAAAAAGTCCAGTTTATCTATTTTTACTTTTGTTGCTGGTGCTTTTGGTGTCATACCCAGGAAATCATCACCTAATCCAAGATCATAAAGATTTTCGCCAAAGTTCTTTTCTTAAGAGTTCTATAGTTCTAGCTCTTAGATTTAGATTTTCAATCCATTTTGAGGAAATATTTTGTATATGATGTGAAGTAGCAGTCCAACTTCATTCTTTGGCACATGGTTATCCAGGTGTCCCAGCACTGTTTGTTGAAAAGACTCTTCTTCCCCCATTGAATTGTCTTAGCACCCTTGTCGAACATGAATTTACCACAAGTGAGAGGGTTTATTTCTGGACTATTATTTCTATTCCATTGATCTATATGCCAGTATCACACTGTCTTAATTACTGTAGCTTTGTAGTAAATTTTGAAATCAAGAAGTGTGGGTCATCCAACTTTGCTCTTCCTTTTAAAGGTTATTTTGGATATTCTGGGTCTCTTGAATTTCCATATGAAGTCTAGGATCAGTTTGTCAATTTCTGCAAAGAAATCAGTTGGGATATTAATAGAGATTGTGTTGAATCCATAGATCAACTTGGAAAGTATTACTACCTTTCTTTTTTTTTTTTTTTTGGCCACACCACGAGGCATGCATGATCTTCCCCAACCAGTGTTTGAACCCCTGCCCCCTGCAGTAGAAGTGTGGAGTCTTAACCACTGGACCATCAGGTAAGTCCCAGAAAATATTACTGTCTTAACAACCTTAAGACTTTCAATTCATGAATATGGAAAGTCTTTCCATTTATTCAGGTCTTCTTTAATTTTATTCAACAATGTTTTATAGTCTTCAGAGTATAAGTTTTGCGCTTTTGCTACATTTATTCCTGATGATTTAATTTTTTGATTGTTTCCTTAATTTTATTTTTGTTTAGAAAATATTACTAAAAGTAATTTTCTCTGTTTATTTTTACTTTTTTAAGGTTGGCTACTAGAAAATTTTAAATTATACAGGTGGCTCACATTATATTTCTTATGGACAGTGCTGTTCTAGAATAAAGAGGCTGAGATTAGAGGAAAAGAGGAACATAAAACAATGGAATATATCAAAAGTATGCATGCCGTGATGGCTCTGGAGCTACATTTGTGAAACCTAGTGTAGAATTTTCACCTATTATGGAAATCACATTTCCTATTATGGAAATGAAGAGCTTCTGATTGCACTCAGAGATAACAGGTGTACTTGTCCCTACTCTGCACAGAGGGGATTTAATCAGATAGAGTCTGCAGAGTTTTCTGTGACTTCTCAGCCCTTGGGCCTATAAGGGTAGTAAAGTGACATTGCCATTGCCTGAGCCCAGGCATGAGGAAACAGGGAAAGGGTAAGAAAAGACAAGCTCATGCTGACGGCCTCAAATCCTTTCATATGGTATCCAGGAAAGGGAGTAAAAGAGCTTTGCCATTGACCCTGGTCTGAAGCTGACCCCTCTCTCACCACTTCTGCTCCTCTCATTGGCACTCCCTCAGGAAAATCTTCCTTGATCCTTCAGGATTGCTATAGATGTAGATGCCCCTTCTTGGTGTGCCCTTGGGGCTTCCTGTAACATTTATTACACAGATTTGAAGTTGCCTGTTTACTTTTCCTTCTTCCCTGTAGACTGTGAGTTTCTCAAGCAGAGACAATACCTCATTAACCACCTAGAGTGAAGTGATAGGAATGATAAACATTGAGTGAGGGAATGATTGCATGAGTATTATGTTCCTTCTTTCTTTGGAAGAGAGTAATGTCACAGCATTACATTAAAAAAAGAAAGATGCTTTGTAAGTGTATTTTGGTTCACTGGGCAGAATTTAATTTTGTTGTTAGAAAACTGATGTGAAAACTAATGTGAGTTCTAGTTCTGGCTTTGTTACTTACTAGCTGTGTGACCTTGAAGAAGTCACTTATCTTCCCTGGACTTGATCCCTCATCTGTAAGTTGAGAGGTTGAACTATTGAGCTTTAAGATCCTTTCCAGCCCTAATATTCTGTGAGATGCTGAAGACAGGGCAAATCTGGCTTTCAATTGTTGGCTTACTTCCAGACAAGCAATTCAACAGAACAGCTGAGATTCCCAACATTTTGCAGGGGCCTCTGCCTTCTCCCCCTTCTCCATGTCTTAGCAAATATGAATAGCCAAGGGCCTCACTGAGTGCGGTTTTTTTTTACAGAATCCAATTTCAGTCCATTTAGAGGGGGACTTTTCATGCTGACTTGGTAATTTGAACTCTGTCGTGCCTGATGGACTGAATGCATTTTCCCTGCCTGTGTTACCCGCTCTGGGCTGGTGGGAAGAGAGAGTGCAGGCATTGGGAGTGGGAAGCAGGGGCACCTTAATCTGAGCAGCTGCGGATCCGCTGTTTTGGCCTTGCAGCCAGTTTTGTCTTTCCTGCTCTGAGGTACAGGATGTGGATACCATGGCATTGGAAGGATAGTGGGCGATGGCTATCCTCTTCCCTGACAATTGCCTTCTCCTTGCAGCGCAGAAGCCGCTAGCCTGTGGGAGCAACTGCAGCAAGAAAACTGTGTTGATCTTTGGGTGTGACTAGGAAACACCTGGTTCTGCAAACCATCAGAATTATTCCAACCGATTGCTGTGGAGTCTGATATATGCTTGCAGAAGGCATGCGATGGAGTATGGGGCTTCCTCTGCTCCCCTAACCCCCAAGTATCTATACTTGTTCTATTTGATTAGAGAGTAACCCAGGGGCCTGCTGGAAGTTCACTTTCTTCTAGAGTGCAGTGTAGGGAAATACAGAAGATAAACATACAGGTATTAGTAGCCACACTATAAATGAGGAAACTGAGGCTGAGCAGGGTGGGAGGAAGAAATGAATGTTTATTCCATGCTTACCCTGTGCCAAGTACTGAGCTAGGAGACAGGTACTTCTTAATCCTCCCAACAGCCTTTTAAGAAATATGACATTATGCCATGTATAGGTGAGGAAAATGAGGATCAGAAAAGTCAAGCAACTGCCCCAAGGTCACACAGCTAGTAGACATCAAAGCTGGTATTCAAACAAAGCTCCATCTATCCACACCGAAAGATCACAGGATTTGAAATAGTGGAGCTGGGTATTCTGATTGTCTGCTGGTCTACCTCAGCAGTGGCTCCTTAACCTGGCTGGTCAGCGGAAACTTTTCAGGACGTTAAAAAACTATAGTAGCTTGAGCATCATCCCCATGATTCAATGGATCTAAGGCACAGCCTGAGATTATGTATTTTTTAAAAGCTGCTTCAAGTGATTCTGATGTTTTGGAAAAAGCACAGCACTGGAGCACATAGCTTCACTTCTTTTTTTTTTTAGGTGGTTTTTTTTTTTTAGAACGTGGTCACTGATTCTTTGACACACCTCTAACTGAGAGATGGGGTCTATATCCCCTCTCTTTGAATCTGGTTGGGCTTGTGACTATATGACAGAAGTGATTTTTTTTTTTAGATGTTGGGGGTAGGAGTTTAGTAATTTATTTATTTATTTTTGCTGTGTTGTGTCTTCGTTTCTGTGCGAGGGCTTTCTCTAGTTGCGGCAAGCGGGGGCCACTCTTCATCGCGGTGCGCGGGCCTCTCACTATCGCGGCCTCTCTTGTTGCGGAGCACAGGCTCCAGACGCGCAGTCTCAGTAGTTGTGGCTCACGGGCCCAGTTGCTCCGCGGCATGTGGGATCCTCCCAGACCAGGACTCGAACCCGCGTCCCCTGCATTAGCAGGCAGACTCTCAACCGCTGCGCCACCAGGGAAGCCCCATAGCTTCTCTTCTAACCCAAGTCTCCTAGGATTTCTTCAGTCCTTAGAAGCCAAGATCCAGTGAGCCCTGCACTTACTTCAAGTAACATTTGCCACCGGATCCATCACTGATTCCAGGTTCAATGCTCAACGTTTATTGGCCGCTTAGTATGTGCCAGGCGTTGTACTAGGCATTCTAGCTGCAAAGATGAATAAACCACAGTGTCTGCCCTGAGGAACATCCGGATAGTGGACCAGACGAATAGAAATAGGAAGTTCTGATTCCTATTTGTAGCAGATGTTAGGCAGAGGTAGACTCATGTTGTTTGGAATGCAGACTAAGGGATCAAGGAAGGCTTTCAAGCAGTGATGACTTGAACAAGTCCTATAGGAGTTAGCATGGCAAAGAGTGGATTGGAGGGGTGAGGCATAGCCAACTGGGCAGAGGGAACAGCATGGAAAGGCCCAGAGACCCCAGAACAATGGGTTCGGGGAATCACAAGAAGCTAGGCAGCAGTAGAATGTAGGGAACCTTGGGAAGAGGACCAGGAGGTGTCAGTGGGAGAAATCACATGAAAGACCTTGTGTGTTATGCTGAGTTTGGCCTTTATTCTAAAAGTGATGAGCAGCCACTAAAGATTTCTAAGCTGTGGAGTGACATAATCAGATTGTGTTTTAGAAGGGCCACTCTGCTAGAAATGAAAAGGTGAACCGTAGGCAGAAGAAGCTGGCAACAGAGGAACAAATTAATTGCAGAATTAAGAATTTATGTATGTCAAAAAGCACCATAAACAAAATTTGAAAACAAAGCACTTGGAAAGCATACTTGGCAGTGTTTCTTGCCCAAAATAATACTCTTAATAAAATTACATATTGATAATAAACATACCAATATCAAATAAATAGAAAAATCACAAAGAAGGAGGTACAAATGGTCAATAAGCATATGAAGATGCTCTTCACTAATAAAGAATTGTGAGTTCATATAACATTGATATACTATTATTTTCCTCTCAAATTGGTAAAGATTTGGTAAGTGATAATACCCACCTGTAGTGAGGGTGCAGGGAACAGGGCACTCTCAAGCCTGCAAATAGAAGAGTGCTTTGGTACAAACTCTCTGGAGGGCAGTTGGTAAAATATATCAAAATTCTTAAAGATAGCCAAACGACATCCTTCTCAGATTTTATCCTCAGGAAATAGTCCTAGATATGTGCAAAATTTAGCTACAAGAATGTCTGTTGCAATATTATTTACAATAAAGATTGGGAACGCATGAGATAATCACTATTGGAAGATTGGTTACCAAATGAGGGTCCACCCACATAATGAGGATGCTGTTGAAACAGTTTGGGAGACCAGCAAAAAATGTTACGTTCGTGTTATAGTGGGTGAAGTAGCAGAAGGTGCAAAAAGTGTGTCCCATGTGCTACCATTTGTGACAAAATAGATACATACATTTGAAAATGCGTAACTGTCTCTGAAAGGATATACAAGTAGCTGGAGAGAAACTAGAGGCTGGCAGACAGGGCAGGAAAGAGAGTAACTTCTGACTCCAAATCTTTTTGTAATTTCTTGAATGTGTATGCATTACGTATTCTACAATATAAATACACATTTTGAAAAGTGAGTTATTAAAGAGTATGTACAGTATGATCCAATCTTTGTTTAAAAAATGCATGTGCATGTGTACATTTATACCAAAAACAACCAAAAGATACATCCATAAGGATAACAATATCTGTCTCCGGTAGTAGGATTATGGGGCGGAATTTATCTTTTTTTTCCCCTAATATTTCTACAATACACATGTGAGGCTTTCATAATAATTACAATAAAAGTATAATATTTTTTCCCCAAAGAGTCTATCACAAAAGTCCAAGCGGGAGATGGCAAAGCAGGTCAGATCCAGGATGAGCGCTCCAAGTATAGCTCAGCAGTGATATCTGCAAACAAAACGTATAATTAAATAACAGTCCCTGTTTGGGGGAGGGACGAGGAGAAGGAAGCTGATGGTTTGTTAAGGGGAACAGTGCTGATGTTGCCTACCAGCTCTCTGAAGTCTCTGGACAAACGCACAGGAAGTTCAGTCCCACCATCTCAAACAAGTCCCAGGCAGCTTTTCTCTTTGGGATCATTTAACTTTGGGTCACAGTGAATGGAGTTCCCAGCATGCGTACCTACGTTACCAGACAAGCAGAAGACCTGGTCGCTTGTTCTATGAGGTCCCATGAGGTTGTCCTCACCTAGTTCTGGTTTTCAACCGTTTTCTTTGGAAGGATGGCAGCAATCTTATCATCCCCGTCTGTCCAGCTCTGCCCCTCTCCCTCGGTGAGGCAAGACCCCTCTCCTGTTCCACGTAGTGAATAGTTACTCTGAGTCCTTCTTCATGGCACGAAGACCAAAGGAAGACCCTCCCGGATTGAACTGGTTCTGCACACCACCTCTGACCTCATCTTCATCCTTCAGATCCTAACAAGCAGTCTGCCAGCTCACAAACTTTCTGGGCTGGAGCCTAAGGAAGAGGGGAGTTTTGCACGTTTGCCCGTACTATGTGTGCTGCGGGGTGGATTTGAGTTGGGGTCATGTGAAATCATTTTGGGGGAAGAGGGCAGAGAGGAGGACATGGTAGGGGTGGGGGAGGATGTGGCAGCAGTATCAGCGTTTCTCCCTTTTTCCCTTCTCCAGAGGGTGAGCTATAGGCAACCAACTGGGGGCCCCTGGATATTTCTAGCACCTTCTTGCAGCCCCCGTTGGAAGCCTTTGAGGAGCTATGTGAATATACACTGTGCTGCCGCCTTCTGGGCCCCTCAGAAGTGATTGGATCCTGCAGTGTTGGAGCCTCTGATTAAACAAATAAGCCAGAATTAACTGTGTGTTTCCTTTCAATCTCTACCTGTAACTGTGACTCTTCCCCAAAGCTGGGGATGGGGTGAGGAATGCTAGCTGGATTGTTTGGATACCTGCTGGCCCGTCAGCAAGGAGAATAAACAATACACAGAAATAACTGCTGGGTCTCAGCTGCCTTTTCCGCCACTAGGGAGTCAAGTGTTAGGGACAATTTTTCACCTTGGGCTAAATATGAAAGGCAGCCCACGTACCATCATTGACGTAGTCAAGGTTTGTCACACATACTGTCCTGCTTTCGAATGGTTGTAACTACCCAATATTATTACCTTTTAGGGCAGCAACTAACTACGGAGTAGTTAGCAGCTGAAGCTCTGGAGTCAGACAGACTCGGTTCAAATCCTAGCTATGCCACTTAAGGCCATGCAACATTGGGCTAGTTTTCTCTTTTTCAGTTTTCTTATCCATCAGATGGGAATAGTAGGGTAATTGCACGAAAGAAATGAGATTATACATGTAAAGATCTGAGGACAGTGCATTTAATAAATGCTCACTATTAATATTATTGCATCTGTATATATTTTAATTTGTACAATATTGTCCCACGGATCACACAAAAAATACATGAAAGTGCTTTGAAAATTTTAAAGCATCATATAAATTAAAGGTATCATTGGTAATAATCTCCTATGACTATTTCTCAACTCTTCCAACTCCTTGAAGACTGGGACTACATCCTATGTCCCAGGGCAAACTGCACAATGACAGGCAAACAAGAAGCCCTCAGTAAGCGTCTCTTATTTGACTGAAGCAACATGGCGTCGCAAAAAGGGCATAGGTGTCAGGAGACTAGGCTGGGATAAAATTAGTTTAAGGCAGGAGAGCCAGTCTGCAGTCATCATTTAGTCATTCAACAAATATTTGTTGAACACATTCTATGTGCTAGATATTGAGTCCAGGTAATTTCATCAAAAAAGAGGCTACAGGTTCCCACATAGCCAAATCCCTGGGCAGTCTCCACAATGCCAGCCTACTCTAAAAGCACAAAGGCGCAGCCAGCATTGTATACCACTGCACAAATGGCCCATTGCTTTGGGGGAAGCCCCATCCTACCTGGCTGCAAGCAGCTCTGATTGAGGGTTGCGGGAGGGAGTACAAGTGAGGGAGTGGGCCGCTTTCAACAGAAATGACAGGAACTGCTGCCTGTTAATTTATTTTTATTTACACTTAATTCGTCCGCAGCTCAGTCTCCCAGTCTATACAATGCTCTTTCCCCTAGATATCATCTCTCCCTCTCCCCGTCCCTATGTGGTCAGCCCCTGGCCCACTCTACCCTGCCCTTCTGCTGTCACAGCTGCCTGCTGGCTGGGAGTCTGGGAGAATGGTATGTGTGGTCACCAGAGGGCACTGAGAGTGGGCTTCGATGGCATGTGAATCCTGGCAGAGTCTCAGATCCCCAAGTGGGAGAGGAGAAAGCACAAACCAAGACAACGAGTGAGGGAGGGAGGCAGGGCCTGAGGTTTTGGGGGTGGGGAGCGGGTTTGTGTGCAGAAATCCAGTGCACAGACTCTCAGACTCTGTTGGCTTAACCAACGCTTCTGGTGTCTGTCTCATCCCTGGATTTGTCACAGTTGCCTTGAGATGCTGCAGTCTGTCAGGCAGCTGTGGAGGGGTCCAGCCCGTGGGCTCCGTGCCTGACGCCTTTGGGATGGTGCACCTGCCAGGCTCTGCCTCTGCCGGAAGCACTGGCCCAAGTCAAAGCTGCAATGGCATTCCCAACCTGTGACAGTCCTCTCCAGCTGTTCCCGCTGAAGTTAGGTCCCTCTCAGCGGCTGCCCTACTGGAAAGAGGATGTCCCTTGTCAGGGCAACCCACCAGATTCCAAATCTGCCCGTCTCCTTCTTTTCACACTGGGAGTAGACAAAGAGTTGAGGGGCAATAGGAGGAGGAAGTGGGGAGAAAGGAACAGAACCCTGGGAAGGGCTCTCCACCAGTGGGTGCCTGGATGTCCCGGGTTAGGCTCGGCTCTAGAAAGGTGTTCTAGTTACATGGCTTCCTTCTCTCTCTGGGAGCATCTGCTGAGCTTCATCTCCGTCAGCTGGATATATCGAATCACGTTGGTGTCTGTGAGGAGAGAAACACACCTTAGGGAACAGCTGGTGAGGGGAACTCTTGGGTCTGTGGAGAATCAGACCAAAGCTGTATCTGCAGACCATGGACAAGCCAGACGCACTCAGCCAGGGTCCAGCGTGGCTGAGAGGGCAACCAGGATGTGCTTCCTCTCTTTCACTGCTCCGCGTCTCCACGTGGACAGGTCCCTGTGACCCAGAGCACAGATGGCAAGGAGAGGAGAGGCAGGGGAATTTCTCCCCTTATTTCTATGGAGCAGCAAACCCCAGTGGTCCTGAGTCAGCACAGTTAGTTGGAGTTTAACCTCAGGCAACTTAGAAGTTTCTCTGAGCCTCCTGTCTCGTCTGCAAGAAACAACTTCCGTTTTTCAGTGCCTACTTTATGCCATGGTTTTAACCTTCATCGTCTCACTGAACACTCATTATAATCCTGTAAGGTATGTTTCATCATCCTCACTGTGACCAAAGTTAAAACTGGGCCCCGGAGAGATTAAGTCAGATGCCCAAGGAGACACACATAGTTGCCGCATCTGAATCCAAAGGCTGCCTCTCCCGGGGATCATATCTTCCTTATAAAATTGCTGTGAGGACCAAAGTAGATATGTCTAAAAGGGCTTAACCCAAATGATCAATAAATATTAGTTGATTGTAATGTTGTTTTTTTTTAAAAATAATTTTATTTATTTTTGGCTGTGTTGGGTCTTTGTTGCTGCACGCAGGCTTTCTTTAGTTGTGGTGAGCGGGGGCTACTCTTCGTTGCGGTGCGCGGGCTTCTCATTGCGGTGGCTTCTCTTGTTGGGAGCATGGGCTGTAGGCGCGCGAGCTTCAGTAGTTGTGGCACGTGGGCTCAGTAGTTGTGGCTCGCGGTCTCTAGAGCGCAGGGTCAGTAGTTGTGGCGCACGGGCTTAGCCGCTCCACGGCATGTGGGATCTTCCCGGACCAGGGCTCGAACCCATGTCCCCTGCATTGGCAGGTGGATTCTCAACCACTGCGCCACCAGGGAAGCCCCTGTAATGTTTTTCAGTTGGAGAGTTTAGAAGAAATTTGTTTCATTGTCTTATCTTGTTCTTACCAGTAAGGTTAGGCAACCACCTCACCACAAACTGGGGAATCTCCCCCCAGTTCCAGCCCTTAAATTAGTGAGTGCGGAAGGACATAGAACAACTGTTTAGCCCTGCACACACCGAAATATGAATTAGGCTGCCTGAGATGTTTACTTCCACAAGTACAAATGAATGCTGTATAATATTCCAGAATGCCTGGCAGGGCACCCAGAACAGTGCTGGCAGATAGCAGGTGCTCAAGAGAATTCTGTTGAATGAGTCCCATTCTTGGTCCTCAAGTGGCTTATAGTAGAGCTGGGGGAACATGATTTATATACAGAAAACAAATCAACAACACATAAAAATAAAGATATTAGTGTTCTTTAAAAAAATAAAGAAAAAAGCATGTTGGGTATTTGCAAATTCATCCTAACAAGACTCCTTGGAAGGAGAATTGCGTTAAAAAAAAAAAATCAGCCATATGAACAGCCATGGCAACAGCAAGTCAAAGTCATGGTCTAAATGATACCTTCTCAAGTATTCCCTGGTGGCGCAGTGGTTGAGAGTCCGCCTGCCGATGCAGGGGACACGGGTTTGATCCCTGGTCCAGGAAGATCCCACGTGCCGTGGAGCAACTAAGCCCGTGTGCCACAACTACGGAGCCTGCGAGCGGCAACTACTGAAGCCCAAGCGCCTAGAGCCCGTGCTCCACAGCAAGAGAAGCCACCGCAATGAGAAGCCCGCACACTGCAACGAAGAGTAGCCCCCGCTCGCCGCAACTAGAGAAAGCCCCTGCGCAGCAACAAAGACCCAACACAGCCAAAAATAAATAAATAAATTTATTAAAAAAAAATAAATAAATGATAGCTCCTCAGAGAGGGTGTTCCTGACCACCTGGTCTGAAATAGCACCCCCTTTAATCTTGATCCTCTGACTGCTTTACTTCCTTCATAGCACTTACTACTACTAAATATTACGTTATCAATTTGTCTGTTTGTTTACTGTCCATCTCCTTCCATTATAACATAAAGTCCTTGAAGGTAGCAACTTTTTTTTGTTCCCTGCTATTTACCCAGCACCTAGAAGAGTTCCTGGCCCATTGTACCTGCTCAATATATATCTGTGGCATGAATGAATGGCGGGGCTAGTGGATGTGATTTAAGCGAATGGTACAGATAACACCTGCTCTAAGGACTGGGTTCTGACTGAAGGAGCTGGAGCATGCTTCCTGGAGGATGTTGGGCTTAGCTCCCAGATTATCCATTTGTATTCTGTCTCATCAACCAGAATGTGAGCTCCTCACAAGTGGGGACCACGTCTTCTCATCTCCATCCTTGGCACCCAGCACAAATCTTGGCACATAGTAAGAATACAATATGTACTCATTGAATAAGTAAAGAGGGCTGGATTCTTGGTTGGAAAAATGAAGAATTCCATATTCCATTTGAAAAGAAGAGATGCCCAGGCTCCCTGGAACCCAGACCCCAGGCAAAGGCATGGACTATGTGTTCTCCTTGTTCCAGGACCTAGCACACACCTGACCCTTCATTTGCCATTTCCCTCCCTGCCTGGCCCTGCCAGCCAGGAACTCTGACCACGGCAATGAGACGGCCTGGGAGCTGCCCCAGGGGGCTGGTGGTAAGGAAAGAGCAATTGCTTCCTTACCTGTTGGCTGTCGGGTCCTTGCTTCTTTCAGGTAGTAGAGTGCTTTGTCATAGTCTCCAAGGTGGTAGAAGGCCACACCGGACCGGTAAAGGGCCTTGAAATTCTCCCCTTCTTTCTTCAGGACTTTGAGGCAGTACTCTTTGACTCGTTCATAGTTCACCAGCTCAGCCTGGAGCAGGCAGGCTACAGAGGAAGGGAGAAAGAAGGGAAAGTGCCATCAACACAACAGCAGCAGGCTCTGAATGTCTCCCTTTGGTTTTTCCTCTCTGACCAGAGAAGGTTTACGAGTGCTGGGGCTTTACGGTGGGGTTTACGCCATGGAGTTTGTCATCAAATAATCCTGGGTTCTAGGATCCAGTTTCATCTTCAACAAGCTGTGTGACCTTGAGCAAGTTACCTGACCTTGTAATATGGATTGAATTGTGCCCCCCGCCCCCCTCACTGAGTCCTAACCCCCAGTGCTTTAGAATGTGACCTTCTTTGGAAATAGGGTCTTTACAAAGGTAATCAAGTTAAAAAGAGGTCATTAGAGTGGGTTCTAATCCAATCTTACCAGTGTCCTTATAAAAAGGGTACAATAGACTGAATGTTTTTGTCCCCCCGAACATTCACATGTTGAAAACTAATTCCCAGAGTGACGGTATTTGGAGGTGAGGTCTTTGGGAGGTGACTAGGTATTGAGGGTGGGGCCCTTATGACTGGGATTAGTGCTCTTATAAAAGAGACCCCAGAGAGCTCCCTCACCCCTTCTGCTATGTGAGGACACAGTGAGACAGCAGCCATCTATGAACCAGGAAGTGGGCCCTCACCAGACACTGAATCTACGGTGTCTTGATCTTGGACTTCCCAGCCCCTAGAACTATGACAAATAAGTGGTTGTTGTTTGAGCCACCCACTGTGCAATACTTTTGTTACAGCAGCCCAAAGAGACTAAGACAAATGAGAAGTTTGGACACCAAGACAGACACACAGGAAAGACGATGTGAAGAGACACAGGGAAAAGATGGCCACCTACAAGCCAAGGAATGCCTGGGGCTACCTGAAGCTAGGAGAGAAGCACAGCTCTCGGAAGGAACCAACCCTACCAACACCTTGATCTTGGACTCCTAGCCTCCAGAACCATAAGACAGAACATATCTATTGTTTAAGCCATCAATCTGTGACACTTTTGTTGTGGCTACTGTAGGGACAAGCCACAAGAGGCAATGACAATACTAACCTTGGCCAATATTTGTCAAATGCTTCCCTTGTGCCGGATGCTTGCTTCGTTGCTTTACTTGTCTCACCTGATAGAATCTTTGGGATACTATAACGAAGGTCCAAGTATTATTCCCATTTTACAGATGAGGAAGCTGAGGCCCAGAGAGGTTTAAGTAACTTCCCAAGGACACACAACATGAAAGAGGCAAGGCTGAGATTTAAATCAAAACTGTCCAGCTCCAGAGCCCAAGTTCCTTACTGAGCTGTTGAAGGGATTATATAAAACGATGGCACAGTATTTGACACAGGGCTTGGCACATAGTAAACACCCACACTGTTACTTCATGTAATTATAATTCTTTGCAGCCCCTGCAATCCTGTGGTGACCTCTGAATTTCCTCAAGTTCTCTTCCACACGTTTGTCTCTGCAGTCCCTGGGAGCAGGGGCCTCTGATGGGCTAGTGACCAGCCTTATACAGAGCACACCTCTGGGCATGAGAGACCTGGGGGTCCCAGGCAAGAGGAAGCTGAGACTGGCTGGTGCCTATGTGGGGCTCCTTCCTATTCCAGAGTCAGTTATCTCTGAGTAAACCGTCTCCCCCTTGAAGCTTTCTCTCACCAGCGATCAGTCACAGGGCCAGGGCTAGGGCGAGGGTGAGGAAGCTTGTACCCTTGAGTGAGCACCTCCTTACATACTGTGCCCTAGGGGCCTCACTTGCCTCACCCTAATCCCAGTCCTGCTGAGCTACCTCGGCCTCCATTCCATCCCTCAAGCATTCAGTAGGCGTTGACTAAAGGCAAAGAGGGGTGTCAAACACACTGGAGGAATTTTTTAAGAGGGGGTGGGGTGAGGTGGCGGAAGGGCACCTGTCTGCTTCTTCAAAGTGAATGAAAACAGACTTAGCAGGTCAAACTGTTGCTTCCTGCCAAGACCTGGCTGGTGGGACGTGGGACGTGGGAGGATGCTGATGCGCTGCTCCTTTGCACTCAGTTTTCTCCCACATTGGAAGAATCACCCTCGGGATAGAGTCAAGTCACTGATTTTAATCTTCAGGGGTCTACCGTCTGCTGTTTTGATTCCTTAAATAACTTCCCAGGGATGTGAACTGCTGATTAAAAGACCAGATCTTTCATCGGGCATTTTAGACAAAAAAAACCCAAAAAGACCCCAAACAAAAAACATCCTTTTGCAGGCTGAGTTGGCGCTATGACAACCAGGAAGTGGCAGAGAATCAGCCCAGATCTGGAAATTGACCCATCACGTTCCACTCGCTACAGGGCAGGAAGCCAAACAAGCCGACAGAAGCAGCAGGCTGCTAACCCCGTGGGCATGGGCACAGGTGGCTGTGGTCTCAGAGACACGCAGACCTGCTGGCACACTAGGGGTGCACCCGGTCGAGCTGACGCCACCAGCTCCCTGCCCTCTCTTCCCTCAGCTGTGGGGTGGAGACCCCCCTGCCCCCTTGCCCTACCCCGTTGCTGCTGGAGTTTGCCTTGGTGCTTTCACAGCTCTGCGGACAGGGAGGGCTTCTGTCACGAGGTTCCCGCCTGGGAACCTCACTGGCTGCCACCTGTGTGAGACTTGGCTCCAACAGCTGCCCCCAGAACTGAAGGGTTTCCTGTCCAAGCTTCCACAGGCCATCTCGTGTCCTCTGTTCTCAGCTGAGAGCCCTCTTCCTGTCCAGCCCTCCATCCTCAGACACTTCTGTTTGCTGACCTGAGCAGTCTAGGAAATGGATCTTTGTTTGTTTTAAAAAACAGTTTTTGAATGTCTAAAACTGGGGTGGGGGGGGAAGCAAAAAGGCCTGAAAACGGGAAAGTCCTCCTGCTAACACACCATCCCCCCACCTTGGGCAAAAGAAGGATAGCAGTCGATTTCCAGGACTCATTCAGTGAAAATGTCTGGAATTCCCCTGCAGATCTGGTGTGAACTGTGAGACCTGGTTGTGGACCCGGGTTCAGACCGCAGGGGAGGTGGGGCCCGGCAGGTTACAGGGTGTGGAGGCCCTATTGGCACCAGAAGCAGAGCCCAGGGAGATGGAGAAATCTGGAGTTAGCTCGGGTCCAGATGGGCTGCCTTCCCAAAAGTCTGCACCGAGAGGGGGAATCCAGATAAGAAACAAGGGGTGGCAGGCCAGAGCTCTTAAGAAGGCCCAGGGTGGAGGAGGCAAGAGACAGTCTGGGCTGCACTCAGCCCTACCTGCAGGTGATTTTTAGGTACCTCTCTTGTTTGGGTGGGGAGTTATCTGGGGTACATATAACAAGCCCATGGGATAAGTAAAATGGGATATCTGTAGGCACATTTTAGAGTTGAAGAAGTCAAGAAGGAGAGGTTGACCGGCAGTCTCTTGATGTCTCTTCCACGTTTCTCTGCCTGCTACCCAGGGCCTGGGGGCTGCAGGAGACCCTGAGACTAGGTCATTTTGTCCCATTGCCCTTTCTTCCTCTCTGTCGTTAATCCCTTACCTTGTGTCAGAGGATACCTTACCTTACCTCAGTACCTTACATATACTATGTCTTTTCATCTTCACAGCAAATCTATGAAACAGGTTCTCCGTTATGCTTCTTTTACTGATGACGAAACCCAGTTCCAGAGAAAGTAAGTAACCTGCTGGAGGTCACTCAACTAGGAGGTGGCAGAATTACGATATCCTCCCACTTCTGCCTGGCTCCCAAGACTGTGCTCTTGCCCATGGGTACCTGTGGGTCTACATGTGAAGCCTTTAGAAACCACATCACCCCTCGTAAGAGACAGGGCACCTGTGTAAACAGCCTTCCTTTGTGTCCCAGGGTCAACAAAACAAAAACTAACTGCACAGAGCACTGTACAGGGCACCGGGATGAGGTGGTGAACCAAACGCCCTGCCCCGTCCTGGAGCTGACGGACTGTTGGGGAGGGCAGACGGTGCATTATCTCAAATACCCGCGTGTGCCAAGAGCTGTGAAGGAGAAGTGATGAGTGGGAGCCTGCTGAGGGGGGAGGGCCCTAAACCAAGATCAAGTATCATGGGAGGCTTCTTGGAAGAAGCGGTGTTTAAGCTGGGTTCCAAAGGTTGTGTGTTTCTCAACCTCAGCACCATAAATATTTCAAGCTGGGTAATTGTTTGCTAGGGGGGATGTCCTGTGCATTGTAGGATGTCTAGCAACATCCTTGCGTTCTACGCACTAGGTGCCAATTGTGACAAGCAAAACAATGTCTCCAGATATCGCCAAATGTCCCCTGGTGGGGGGCGGGGGGAATCATGCTTGTGTGAGAACAGTTGATGTAGGTGGAAAGGAGAAAAAGCTTTCTATGTGGGGGGGGGGAGGGAAGGATGGAGGAAGGAAGGAAGAAGGAAAGAAAGAAAGAAAGAGAAAGGAGGAAGGAAGGAAGGAAGATAGAAAGAAAGAGAGATTATGGCTTATTTGAGGAGGTTTGAGTAGCCAAGCCCAGCTGGAGCAGAATAACTGAAGGGAAGGGTAAAAGGGAATAAAGCTAGAGAGGCAAGATGAAACCAGGACACACAGACCCTTCTGTTTCATGTCGAGGATCTGGGACTTTATTCTTAGGGCAAGAGTGGATTTGGATGATAAAATAATGGTGACTCGGTTGACTCAAGCTGAGGCAGAAAGGCAGGAGAAAGGGATTCATTCAAGCGGCACCCAGGAGTCAGAACTGACTAGCATTAGGGAACCCCTGGAATATGTCCCCTCTGCTGTTACACTCACGTGCTTAGATCCCATCATCCCGGGAGATCCTAGATTGCCATTTTGGATCCACTGATGATCCACAAGTTTTCTTCCACATTGTAGCAACCTGGTCTCCGTTTGAAATAAGGTCTAAAATACGAGTCTCTGTGCTCTACTATACGGCACAGATCACTATTCTAAAGAGTACTGGGCTGGGAATCAGAAGAGCTGGATCCTCGTCCCACCTTTGCCACTAGCCAACATTAGGAAAATCACTTTCCCTTTCGGGGCCTCAGTAAAAACGAGGGGCCCAC